GCAGACTTGAGGCCAGTCCTGGGCAGGCAGGATTGCCAGTTCAGGCCAGAAATAACGACTGCTCAGCCATTTGCCAAAGCGGCTAGCTGCACTCCAGCTAGCATTACTGTGGGGTCTGGCTCCTTGGCATGAAGTGGACTGACTGTATTAATGTAGGAAGGAAAAAGGGTTAAAGAACACCAGGAGGTCTTTGCAAGATTGTTGATGTTTTCTAATGTTTCATAAACACATAATCCCAGTTGTTTGTTTATACTATAGGGTGGCAAAATAGTATATCTTACCTGATATAATGGTGGAAAATATAAATAGCTTTCTAGCAACCAGGCTTCATTAATATGTATTGGAAACCTAAAATGGTATTCAGCTATGAGGGGGGAAAAGTACAGAATTGCTTTGGATTATAATAATTTCAGCAAAGCATCTAATTTATATATTAAGCTTGCTTAATGGACTTATATTGCCTTGCTCTTTGATCTGAAGAAAAAGGTGGTGAATAATTTATCAAATAAAAAAACCTCCCCTAGCCCAGCCCACACGTCACAATCTGCCCTATAATTTACATTTTTTAAGAGATGCCATTCCCAGGCAGGAGAACTGGTTCCTAAAGATTCTTTCTAATATTACAAATGTATTTTCACGAGGTACACTCTGGGGAAAAAAAATAATAATGAAGGAATGCAATTCTGCAGACAAATGTTTCAGCTCTGTGCCTTCTTCAGTGAAGACAGTCATTTCAACTAAATGCCAAAAGGCATTTAGCTGTAGCATTTGTCAGTGGAATAGGGTTGGCTTCAGGTTTCCCTCCTGATTTACAATTGAGTGTTTATTGGGTTTACTGCGCTGTAGCATATTTTGTTAACCTCGGAAAACCACAACTAGCTTGTGCATTAATCACAAGGATGATATCTGTCATGGTAAAGTGGGCCAGCGTGGGGCTTTTGTGTCCCACCAGACTTTGTGGAAAGGATGCTGACTGCTCCCGGAGGGGCAGGAAAGATGTGCTGGTGGCTTTGGGCTGGGGTATACGTAACCTATGTCCAGCTCCTGGCTCCCGAGATGCTTTCTTGTGAGATGCAAAATCTATTTTTCCATGTCTTTATTTTTCAACCAGAAGAGAGGAGGAAAAACTGTCATGTCAGCTCACAGTAGCTGGGTGAGCTGCTGTGAAGTCACATGCCTAATGAGGATTTAGGTCAGTGTGGTGGTGTTTAAAGCCTAATTATTGCAGACTTTGTGCCTGGAGTTCCTCAGCTGGTTCGTGTCTACCCATTGCAGTCATTGCTCAGTAATCCCTGCTTCTGGTCACATTCATAGGTAACAGCAGTGTTGGTAGTCACAGCTCTATCATGACTCTTGACACATCTCCCATTCACATTCCCCCCGCCGCCCCTGCCATTTGTCCAAAGCAATGAGTTGTCAAACATTTACTATGGCAGTGCGCAGGGTTTATTCGTAGTTAAATAAAGCCATTATCCTGGCCTTGAGTTTCAGTAGTTTTCTGCTCTTTCTCTTGAGTATTTCTCTCAGTAGTGCCATCTAATCAGCTTTAGGTTTTAATTAAAACAGCTGTCATTTGCTTCCTAGTTCTGTTGCAACCTGATGTTGTATTAAATTTTAATTTAGCCTAGGCTGGATAAGAAGTAGATTCCTTCAGACAACAAAGAAATGCTATTAGCACGTTACAGTTGTAATTAAGAAGAGCTCTGCTGAGGTGCTAATGCATTCAGGTACAGAGAAGGAGCTGGAGATAAACACGCACATAATTATTATTTAGGGATAGAGCCTGCAATATGACTGTGTAGCTTCCACCCAGGCTGCTTGAATTGAGGTTTTGGTCAAGATCTGGCAGCTGAAACCCTCAGCAAAAGAAATAGGAAGGGATTCCCAGTTTTCCACCTGGGACCTTGCAGTGTCAGCAGTTAAACGTTTGTGCTGGTGGTCCCTAGGTATCGTTCCAGGTATTTCACTGATGCTGTGCCACATGGGAGGATCTGCCTATGTAAATCAACATTATTACTCCCCTCTACATTTCAGATGCTGTTAGTAATAGTTAGCACAGGAATCTTAAATTCAGTAACACTTTTTTCCTGCAGTAAACTGTACCATAGAAATATAAAACAAATTCAGATGAAATGCTATTACTTGTTGAAGATGCACAAATAAAAAAGGTCTGTTTATAAATCTAATGGGCAATTAGTTCAGTTCTGCCTTCATATTTCTTCCTCAGAGGAAATATATTTTTTCAGTCTATAAATAGCCGGCTCTTAAAAAGGTCTTTACACAGCCTATTATACTTGTGTAACACTTGATCCAGGCATCAGGCATCTGAAATATTGATTTATATGGTAGAATTGCTTACCAGTGAAGTGTAGTTTTTGTGAAGCAGCACCAGCTAATTAGCACAGTGGGTACCTGTGCTGGGGAAGAGGGGAGGTTCAGGACAGTGCTTGTGTCAAGAGTAGGATGAGCATATTTCAGAGCACCCACAAATAGCAGAGTCACGAGGTGTCTCTTCTAAGACCTTTTCTCTCATGCTCATCTTCACGGGGAGTTTATGAAAGGAATGCAAATGTCTTTATAAACTTTGCATTATCCTTCAGAGCATCAAAGTCTGACTTCAGCTTGGTAACTAAGCAGCACTTAGAGTTAAAAGGCGACTAGAGGTTTTGTTTATCCTTTGTCACACATGAGGGTCAACACAAGGGTGATACAGGGAACAGCACAAAAACCAAAGGAGAAATTAGTTCAGGCTTGTTGAGAACCTGGTTCCAAGTCCACTGAAGTCAAAAGAAGCCTTTCATCTATGACCCAGTAGCGCTTTGGATCAGACCGTAATTGCATACAAGTGCCACCTGCCCCTGACACGTAGGAGTTACGTAGCTGTGCTAAGAGAGTGGACTTGGAAGTAGAATTGGTCGCGTGTTCGTTGTGACCTTGGCAAAAATACTGTTTCCCCTGATGCACTGAAGAAGATGGTCTGGTTTTGAAGAATGGCTTAGAAATAGCATACTGGCAAACTGCTTCTTGGGAGCGTTTTGACACAGGACCACCATGTCTTCATTGTATATCTGCAATATGTTTGTATTGGATTGATGGCTTAGGATTTATGGGATGTTTGCTGTTGGTTTGATGAAATCTAACTACCTCTTCTCTGACATACTTGTGGATGAAGCACCTTCAATTTCTCTTTGTCTGTCTTATACAACCTCTTTCCACCTGAGGTGCCTCTAATTGTTTTCTTTCACCTGGCAGTGCATTTTCTTCTTAGTTTTGTTGAAACCTCAGCCTTGTAAAAGTTTTCCAGTTGTTCTTTCACACTTCCACTTTTGTCATGTCCTTCTCTCTTTCCCAGTGTCCCTCCCTCATGGATGGCAGCTGGTTATAAATGAGCCTATTCAGCATAAAGAAAAACTAGACAGTCATTTACTGCGTAAAACATCTGGTTTGTGCCTCGTAGAGAACAGAACAAAGACAGCGTATTTATTTCATGAGGTATTATTCAGAAAAGCATCTCTATTCAGGACAACACTTAAATGCTTAAATCACATTGAAGTCTAAGTGTCAAGTTGAGCATGTACTTTTAGTGCTGTTCTGAAGAGAAATGGACTTGAGTACATGCTTAAATGCTTTTCTGGAACATGACTGCCCATAAAGCTCTAGTAGACTATATTAGTTAGCTGGCACTAGTGTTATTAGTACTTCAACTCATTTAATTCAGGGTGCTTTTTGTAGAAGTTTCCGAATATTGATTAATAATACATCTTAGTTGCAAGTATTTATTCGTCTTCTCCAGCTGTCCTTAGCTTGTGGTCAATGCCCATTATTTTCTGTCAATCTAGCTAGCAGACAGAAGCAAATGATAGTGAATATATCTCCCTATGCAAGCTGCTATCAAATTTTCCACTAAAATCCATTTTTTCTTCTACCAATTCTAATAATGGAATTTAAAGTTAGATTAGTTTGAAGCAACTTTTTCTTTCCAACTGGCAAGCAATTAGTTTTATGGAGGTTGAAAAATGAAAAGCGGATTGATTCAAAGCGGTATTTCTTATTGCAGGCTTTTCAAGAAGGCCGAACTGAATCTATGAAAGCACAGATCGTTCCTTGCCCCACATGCGTGTCGAGTTTTGGGCCTGCAATCAGCACTGCTTAAGCAGAGACAAGCTGCTCTGTAGGCCTTTGGAGGCTGTTCCCCTCCAGTCTGCATACCTGCTTATGCAAGGCAGGGACCTCTGTAGCAACTCATTTGGAGTAATTAATCAAACTGCAGCCATAGTGAGACACAGAGGAAGGCTGTGTTAATGGAGTCATTAGAGTGCCAGCACTGTGAAGTCATCAGGATTAGAGATAAATGTGGTAAAACATCTCTAGGAGGGATTTTGATGGGGAAAGATTAAAAAAATTGCATATGGATGGCTTTGCTTAGTTTGTAATACCCTACCTCATGCATAGTTTTTCTCATCATATATTTATGTTCCAAAAAGGGAAAATGGTCAACTCGCAACACCGTCAGCTGGAACAGTAAGGAAGAAATGCTGTTACTGTAATGCTTGATAATCACCTCCCAAATCACTGGCATGATTTGGGGCAAATGGGTGGGAAGAGTTGCTGACACCCTTTGGAGATCGTACCGGAATAGCACTGTGGTTTTGCCAAGCTGCAGATGTGCCATCACGCATAAATGAGTTACAGATTTCGTTGCCACAGCAGCCAAACCTGTAAAAAAAAAGAGTAAAAGAACTCAAAAAGAGTAAATCCCTCTGTTTATCAAAACCAGAACCTGATGGTCCAGATGCAACTTTTGGCTTAGAAAGTTGTTAAACCATTGACTGCATGGAGCTTGAAGGGTACGAGCAAAGAAGGGTCACTCCTCTGCTCCTGCCCATCAGAGGCTGGGTTTTGGTGGATTCGTCTGACCTCTGCGGCATTCTCATGGTTTTATACTTCTCTAACACCCATCCTTCATTTGTGTGTGTGTGTGTGTGTGCATACAGGACACAGAAGTCCTTAACACGGCCATTCTGACGGGCAAAACGGTGTCTGTTCCAGTCAAGGTTGTTGCCGTGCAGGAAGATGGGTCTGTGGTCGATGTTTCGGACTCCACCGAGTGCAAATCAGCTGATGAAGACGTCATAAAGGTAAGGCACCCATATGAGGTGGAGAATGGAGTTTTCACCCTTTTCTTCCACCACCACCATATTGGGACCTAGCCCACATTCAGGATTTTACATCAACCAGTTGTTTGACAGTCATGGCTGTTTCTGTGGTGGTGGGTTGTTTCCACTGTGCAATGAGGAGAGTGGTCTCCAGAGGTTCTGCAGGGTTAGCACATTTCCATAGACTGATGCAGAGCCATTTGTGCTGGCGTGTTCCATATGGGAGAGAGGGCCAAGGATGCTGAAAGAGCAGCCTTGTCTTTCTTCACGGGCCAGCCACTGCTGATGAGGAAGAACATGTTGTCTGATACATCCCACTTGGGAAAAGTCAACTCCCCACGCAGGGATCTTTTTGTTCTTGTGTGGCTTTTTCGCATCCATTATTTAACAGTAATAATGCAGTATATTGTAACAGTGTACAGCAAGGTTTCCTACATGCTTCTGACTGCATCACCTGCTTTCCAGTCACAATTACAAGTAAAGATACTGAGCTGTACCAAAATCTGGAGGAGAATGACAGAGAATAGAAAATAACAATCATATTGCAAAAATTCTTAAAACGAGAGCTGAGAGCTTTTAAACAATGTTCTGTTAGGTTTTTGTGTTGTGAGTTTTTTTAAAAATATGTTCATCTGGTTCTCCCTCCCTGACATTGAGATGAAAATAGCATTAATATGACTTTATCAAGACATTGACTACATGACTTCTGACACCATTGCATGACTTTCAGCTTTTAGCTCATTATAATTTTTAGGCATAAAAGAGGTACTTTTGAATATCTTTAATAGGTTTATTTATTTTATTATGTGGTTTGAGGGTGGTTTTTTCTTGTTTTAAATGAACTTAAGAATTGACTATGATAAATTCTGTATAGGGGTGGGGTTTTTTTGTATTACTTAGGAGTTTCTTAGGGTAGTCCTAGAAAGATAGTTTCTTTGTTCAATTCCAGGAAAGTGCAGTATATTATATATAAATGCTATAAAAATAGGGTATTATAGTCATCCTTTTAACATAGTAATCCTGTAACCTATAGATCTTATGATAAGCTCTCTCTGTAGCTTTCAAGAAACAAGTTTCTCCCCATATCCTAGCTATCAATTGTGTCATGTGTGAATGTATTCCAGATCTGAGCGCTTCTTTAAGTTCTCGTCAGACTGCATTTGAAACCCACATCCTATACCTGTGTATTTTTAACCTATTATTATAACCTCTTTGTAGATAAGACTGCAAAGGTCATAATAGAGAGCTTGTACTTTGTTGGATAAATTTTCTTTAGATGGCTCAAGAATTGCACACAGCAAAGCTATTTATTTTGAAGATTACAAAAAAGTCACCTTTTGACAACTCTGAATAAGCTTATTACCAATTTTTGGAATAAATTACATCCTCTAAAACAAACAAAATTTCATTACATTTTAGGTCCAACAACAAAGAAATTCCTTTGCAGCTAAAGATCTTACAGAGCAACTGTACCTTTTGTAGATATTTTCTCTTTCTGAGACCTATAGGTAGGTGACCATTTGACCCTAGGTAGCTATAGGAAAGGCAGGATGGGTTTGGGCAAAAGCCTTAGTCAGGCAACCTCTGCTTGCTTCCAACTTTTTGTATTAAGATTTATCTCCATTTAACATGAAGACACAGCATTGATAAATAAAATTCAAATTGTTCGTCAGAGGCATGTGTGCCGTTGTATCCTCAGAGAAGTTGATAGCTTGGGACTTAGTTATACAATAACAATGTCTAGCACTTTTCAGACCTCAAAGCATTTTGCAAAGGACATCAGTGTAATATTCCCTTTTCATGAAAGTGACTGTCCCAATGTTTAGCCTCAGCCAGTGACGGAATAGGTCTCTTGAGTCTCTAGCCTGTGCTCTAGCTTCTGTATTTTCCCTTATTTATCGGATGGGGAAAGAAAAAAAATCACATTTTCTTCTTCTAGCAATCGAATTTCCTTGAAAGTCCTTACCAGAAGGAACATGAATAAATATCTTTGTTTACAACTAACTTAATTGTCAAAGGAACAGACCCTCTTGATAAATTTTGCTATTCTTTTTTTTACTGTGTACCATACATCTAATCAGTGGCTATTATTTATCAGTTGATAAATATAAACAACTAATTGTTCATATTACAAACTCAAGCACCCAGTTATATATCATCAACATATTGCTGAGACTGTCTTTTCTTTGCACTTTGGAAAACCAGATCCAGACCTAAAAGATGGTGTATGTGGATGGTTTTTTCTGATAATTGAGTTTCTAGTATTTCTAGGACTTGCTGTAGGTAGAGAATACAGGGCTCAACCAGATAGGAAAAGGTCAGGAAAAAGACTCCCATTCCTCTTCCACTAGTAAAATTAATATCTGCAGATGTTAAGGAGATGTTGCATTTCAAAACACTGTCTGTTTAAAGTCCATTTAGTTCAATGAGCAGTTGTCCAGATGGATATCTTGTCAAAGCTGGGTATGCAGTTGTTCTGGTTCCTAGATTTAAAAGGTCCACTGGAGCTGGCAACTAAATAAGGCTTGACATGACCTCTGTGAGCAAAGACAAGATTTCCAGTTGCAGTTGTGGATTTATAGACTTCAAGAAAGCAAAGCTCTTGCCCTTTGACCATCTTCCTTTTTTGCTTTTTCAAAACGGCTTGTATATATAGGTGGAATTAGATCTACTTCACAGCGCCTTCAAGCTGATGAGTGTCCTCCCATTCCTTTCAGTGATCTAGATAGAGCAGACCAAAACACAGGCCAAAATTCTGCCCAGGTTTTACAAGATTTGCACTGTCATTCCCCTTTTTTTTGGTAGTGACTAAGTTGGTATAAATCAGGTCTTCATTTGACTGCACTATGAAATTATTTGGGTATCAAATCACTGTCAGAAGAGAAAACTCTTTCCCAGACCTGGTACCTTACTCTCTAATATATTGACTTAATGAACAAAAACAAGAGGTCTGAATGTGGTCTTCACTGAGTTCATCTTGCCTCATCTTGGTGCTATAAGATGGGAATAATGTTATTTCTATGAAAATCACAGCATACTTATTATGGATTTCAGTCACAAATTACTGAGAGGTGCTCTCAGACTGAATGCTGTTCAGGCGTAATTTTTTAACTGGAAATGTAAGTATTGGTTGCAAGGTTGAATCCATAACAATTAATTAGCTGAGTTAAAATTTAGTACAGGGTTTATGTGCCTATATTTTTTCAGAAAAATGCATATTCCCTTTACAAGCCCCTTTGGTAAAGTCAATATTCACTTTGCTTCCAAATTTGTGTTGCCTTTTCTATATAGGTCGTACTGCTAAACCCTCTAATAAGAGTTGTCAGGCATTTTGGATGTAATTGCCTAATCTTAAGCTTCTTTTCACCATTAATTCTGCCTTTATTGTTTCTTTGTAATTGGAGAGATATTCATATTCTTTTGGGCAGAACAGAGAGTGTTGCATTCTTAACCTTTTATTTCTGTTTAATAGCTAATGATTTAATAGACAATTAATGAGACAGTTCTTTGATCACTGCTATAACACCATTATTTTCAATTAAGACACAATGAATTGAAGCTAGTTTAAATAAAAACAGACTATTATGTATTTATACAAAATGTGCTTCTCTGGGCAGCTACCTAGATATCACATTGATATAAATACTACTCAGAGATGGTCAAATAGATAGTTGATGTGCAAGTGATTTATTTGTAGGCAAGAGATGTGAATCTTTCCTATTCTAAGCCATATATTCCCTCAGTCTCACAGTTTAATAGCTTCCCAGGAAGAGAATATTTCAGTCCACATTTTTCAAAGCCTACCTAATTAGCGGTAAATATAATGAAACACACCTAGGACTTTTTGACTTTGCATTTTCTGACTTTAGCGTGACTTGATCCTCAAAGGAGTCTCAGAGCTTGCTCAGATCAACTACAATCCCTGATCCCTACAGTTGCTGATCCCTACAGTTGGACATAGGTCATAATGCTGACCAACAATTTTAACTTGAACTGACTACCCTCTAAAATATTTTAATGGAAACATTACTGTAAGTCAGTAAAACTCTTATACTTATTCCACTATTGAAAAGGAACATTTAATGCTGTTGGTTTGAGGGAAAAGATTGGCTTTATGATTAAGGCATTGAAATGCTTCTCAGCATTAATTTCCATATCTCTTGCTGATTTCCTGTGCAACTGTGGGTAAATCACTCATTCCCCTTGGAATCTCACTTCCTTATCTGCAAACAAGGCGGAGAAATACATCCTCTTCCGAGCCTCAGCCTGCCTTATGTAGTTTCTGAAGTTACTGTTGATGCTGAATGGACAAAATCCTTATCTCCACTAGAGTCTCATTAACTTCAGTGGTCTTCTGCCACAGAATCACTTGAAGGACTTCTCTCCTAGTGTCCTGCCTTTCCTGCAAACCACAGCTAAATAGGGTTGTGAAGCTGAAAAGAAAGAAGTGGTGGAAACTTGATAGAATTTATGCATAAATGATTCAGCTGCTTTGATGGTGGGCAATACACTGAGAGATAAAGGAGCTGTAGGCATAGTGGGATGAACCTTTCTATATGTATGCTGAACCACAGGGCCTCAGTCTTCACAGGTGGGGAAAAAAGCCTTGAAGAAAAAGATTAAAGCAGTTGTACCATGGCAAGGATCTCCTTTGCTCATCCGTCCTGCCAGGAAGTACAAGCACTGCTGAAGTTTTGCTGGCCTGTTACAGTAGGTTTCACTTGCTCCCTGCTGGCCTTCAAGCCATAGTTAGAGGGAAATAAAGAGTTAGACCAACGAGTTAGACCAACATCAGGGATGGAGGGAACACCTTGAGATGGTTTATTACAGAGGGAAGTCTAACCTGAGAGGCTTTGGCACAATCAATCTTCACAGCTGCTTAGAAGCTCCAAGCAAGGTCCACCACTCCTTTTTCCTCCCTGTAAATGTGCCTTTAAAAGCCTCAGCCATAGTAATTTCAGACGAAGAAAAATTCTGAAAAC